CTACGGTTAGGTAAAGCTACACTGGCTAGCCACTAAGTAGTTCGTAGAGACCAGTAAGATCCACAGCGTTACTAGAAAACTTACGACCAAATTTCACAGCTAACTTCTGGAAACTAGAAGCAATTTCGAAGTTCATTACAATCCTCTTGGCAAACTAAAATCAGCCACCTCTTTGTACCCGACATTGGCAGCTGTCTCCAAATTCTGCGGTAAGCCTGCTTCCGTAGTCTGCCGAGGATAGGAAACTCACCGGGAATGTCTTCCACCGCTATATCATTCATCAGAGGAAGTTTAAAGCCGTGTGAAGACAACAAGCAGTGTCCTGTTAGTACACCAACCTGGGCCACTGGTCCTCTCTCTTAAGAGATAAGAAACATTGTGCGAGGTTTCTATCACACAATCCTAGACATCTTGCAACTATGTGTTTGGTGAACAGCTTCTGTGCTTGCCGGATCGTAGATAGGACTTGGTCCCATTTAATCTGCTCTATCAGCACAGTTTCCGACTTTGGTGAGTCTGTCGGCATTCTCGTGGCCAGTAACGCCGGTCTTCCCCGGAATTCAGCGTATATGTCCACCCACCCACGCTATATGCGGCAACTCATCAATGGCTGCCGTGCATGCTGCCCCACTTCTTGAGGAAGTGCTTTGTGATTATAGTGCCTTCATGGCACCCTCTTTATGGCTAATACTGCTGCCTGGAAGATGCTGCTATAGGCAGGTCCTTTATAGAACTAACTAAGACCGAACTCCACACCAAATGCTGTTGTGCCTATAGCCTTGCCCATCTTCGGCCTTTTTGGAGTAAACTTACGCCGAGTCAGCCGTGCCCATGCCCGCACGGCGGCCTTCGACCTCTATAGTGGCTCCGAAATTTGTCTCCCCACCAGGGCCAACTATATTCTTCTAAAACGAGATTGTGTCTACCGATCTTCCTTTCTTGTGAGTAAGCTGTGCTTTTGAAGGTTTGCTTTTGAAGGTATGAACCTCTCTATTGATAAAATTGTTTTAGACTAATGGGCCTATAGCTTTTGGGGTGGGCGTTTCCACGTTTGCCTGTCTTCGGCAAAAAAACAACGTTCGCTGCCTTTCATGACATACGAAAATAGCTCAGCCTTATCCAGCCTTCGATTTTGCTACTCAACCACCTCCTGCTCTTATGAGTCGCCTTCTGCAATATCACGATGAATATGCCATCTAGACCTCCTTTGGCTTTGAAAGTGAAATACAGTTCAGCATCCATTCGAGTTTGGATGACGTCAGGACACTTCCCACAATGCTTTTGAAAATGTGCTGGCTGGATCTCCTGTATCCTCGTCAATGGAGAAATGTGCCTGTAATAATATTTCGAGCGATTGCTCACCCCACTTTGAATACATTCGCCGTTGTTCTCTTTAATGAGTTACTGTGTTATAGAGACCTAAGACATGTCCTTCCTTAGTCTTTTTGTCCAACTACAGCATTCGATTTCACTACAGAAATTTTGTCACAAGCTTTTTTCCCTCTGCGCAAAACTTTCTTATAGATCTTTAAAAGATCTCTATACTGTCGCATTTAGAGTATAGCTAGCTTCGGTATTGCACCAAGGGAGCTTTGCTCTTCCCTTAACCTTCTGTAGGGGCCCAGCCTGCTTGTAGGCCATCGAGCCCCAAGTTCTGACAAATTACAGAGTACCCGTTCGGCCTTGTTCTATTTAAGTTTAGTGACATACTGGTTTGGGCTATCCATCTAATAGAGGCTTATGAGATAATGCCCTTACTTCTGTGCATTTCGAGGCTGCTTTCCTAGTACAGTTTCTAATCGAACACACATAATTCCTAGTAATATCTTTTTGTGGCAGTTTCAGTTTATTGCAATTAAAAGAGAAGGTTCTTTTCTTTAGGCATTTTGGTTTTTCGTTCCAGCAATTCCTTATAAATCATTTACATACATTATAGTCATTCAGTCATTTGTGTATGTACATATGTATATGTACTATGTATAAGCGAATGGGAGAACATCCTACTAAAAACACTGAAATCAATTCCAAGAACTATCTAAAACTTTTCACTCCCTCGTAAGCAGAGTATAGAAGCAAAGTAAAATATATACTGAATTTACAGTAGTTAAAAGCAAATGGGCATGATTGAGTGATAAACGACTAAGGATATCATCGAATGTCTGCATATGTATGTATTTTTGTAAAAATTTACATAAAAACTACTAGGATATTCGCGCTGGCCTGCATCGTGCACACGCTCGTTTCCTAGTCTGAAATTCACGACCATTGTCGCGTGCTCATTGCTGTTGCTCTACACATACAAATAGACTATGCACATGCATACAGCTTTTTTAGCAACGACCCAGCCGCACCCCCTGGATTAACATACAAATACACACACACACACACGAGCACATACACTTAGTAATACTCATACGCCAGCGCTATATTCAAATCAAATCATGCTCACGCTGCACTCAAGTCTAGTCAACTTAATGTCTCGCCAAGGCGCCGAGTAGCATCGGATGCAGGCATCCACCATGCCACCGGCTTAAACGCCAACCGACACTGCAGCAAAAGTTCACAACTATACGTACTTTGTATGCAGTTAAAGAGCGTGTTAAGCGTCTGAAATTGCCACAGTGCTGGTGCCATTGTTTCTGTTACTAGTAGCGTTGTAACTCAAAGTAAGTATATATGTACATACATGCACTGAGAGAAAAATCAACCAAAAATTTGTTAATATTACTAAATTCAAACTTGAAATAGAATCAACGTGATTTTTGGTTAATATTAACAATGCCTTGCTTGATATTTTCAACAATGATTTAGTAATATTAACCACAATTTTGTTTACATTAACCAAACTTTTGGTTGGCGATTTTTCCGTTTGAACACGCTTAAGCTCTGCACTTCAAAGATTCTTTTTCATAAGCATTTTAACATGTTGCCTGTGACGGGATTAGCAATTTATAGCAAGAATCTCTACTAGGGATGTTAACTTTTCAGCTTTTCCGATCCCGGGATTTTAGGTATGTCGTTATCTCAATCCCGGGAACCCAGTATTAGTCCGGGGATTTATATATTCATTAATTTTCAACAAGTTTTCTACCATAAAATATAGAATAAATAAATGGGTTTGAAACATACTTTTTTATTTAAAGTGGCATTTTTCTTGTTTCTCTCTAACGTCAGGATTTATTTTAAAGGACTTTGTAATTTCAAAGATATGATTAATTCCAAAAATTATTTAAAAAAAACTCAATGCAATGTTGAATAAAACTAGGGGTACCAAATGAAAGAAGAAATTTCTTTAGAATTTAAAAAGAAATTGAAATTTTTTGGATTCACAAGGACGAATAGGTAATTTTTTTAAGCTGATAAAGTTAGATGGATAAAATTCGAGGCTGTTATCGAGTTTATATAAGACGTTAACATATAATTTTTTCATAAACCAAATATTACGAAATTTCAAGGACCAAATTTTAAAAGGACATTTTAAATACAAAAATCCCGGGATTATTTGCCAAGAATACCGGGATTTTTGGGACCTTAAAAAGGCCGGGATCCCGGAATTATCATTCCTAATCTCGACACATTCAGCTACAGCCGCTTTATACATTTTTGTCTTTAAATGTTCAACTTCAATCAGTTTTCTTCGTCGTTTAATTTGGTTCTGCACTTCACGGATGCTTTTCCGTAATAAAGGGAAAAAACCCGGAAAAATTATGTGTTGCCGCTGCTGGAAGCCAACAAATAACAGCAAGCACCTCTGCACGTTCAACTAAAGCCAGGCATACGAATTGTTTTTCAAATGTTCAACTTGAATCACATTTTTTACAATCGATGTATTAACCATGAAAAACCGAAACCATAACTCGGTTGAAAAATCCGTTGTACTTTTGGCTCAGTGTGAATACCATGTGCTTATATGTGGCTTTTTCTCTGACTACGGCCTCGACACAGCCATCAACCATCACTGTTGCAACCTCGTCTCTTTTTCCTGGATTTCAATGATTTTCACTATTCTACTTTTTTTTTAAATGGCCAAAGCTTTGTCTCAAACATGTTGCCGCCCTCTGCTGTTTACTGTCTCCTGCCGCGGTTATCTTCTCTGTGTGTATGTGTGTGTATCTTCATTATATGGATATATGTATGCACATATATTACGTATATATATATTATCTATTACAAAGTTTGCGTGACATTTGTTTTTGTGTGACTCGTGTGACCTAAATACGATGGCATAATAGTCGAGCTCAATGTTGAGTATTCGCTGGCTGCTCTCTACCATCGAGTAACTAACTAATCGTCTGCACATCATCCTTCAAAATGACATTGCATCCACAAACAGAGCAGCAGCGGCAGCAGCATCCATTTTGGAAAGAGTCACATATACACATGTAAATATGTTTGTGTGGGTATGCAAATGAATGTGCATACTTAAATACATATGTATGTATGTAAAACCTAAAAATAGTTTGGCTTATCAGAAAACGTCGAGCAGCCCATTAAATGTTCAGAGATTTATTAAATTAAAAGTAATTAAAAGGAAGTGAAAATTTTAGTCATTATTTTAAATGATAGCCATTTAGTTTAGCATGAAAAAATCCACTGAAATTGAAATGCTTTCAATGCAGTCAAGAACAACAATAAATTTTGAATGCCTTTTTAATGAAATTTGAGTAGATATCAGATCTTGGTCAATGCGGTTCATATTACTTTTTTCCTAAAAATCTTTAAATACTGAAATATTCAGAAAAGTAAAATATGCTGAACCTGGTAAAGTCCGGTATAAATCCCGAAAACTG